AACTTGCAGATTCCAGAATGAATTTTCAGGACCGACAGTTTAATACCTGTTTAGTGTTAAACTAAGTAAATTTGATTTAGAAGCCCCTAGGGAAAAAAAATAGGGTTTATAATGCCATTTGTACAAGCTGTGACACTTGCGATCAATCATTAGAATAAGAATGTTTCTTTGCTTGGCAGTATTCACGTATCTTTCTATTTCTTATAGTCAATCACAGAATGGTTGAGGATGGAAGGGTCTGGAGGTCTGGAGGTCATTTGGTCCAACCCCTCTCGGTCAAGCAGGGCCACCTGCAGCCAGTTGCCCAGGAGCACATTCAGACTGCTCCAAGGTTGCTGGAGATATTAAATCCCTAATAATAATTATTTTTTTACTTAAAGAAAGAAAACTATCCAATCATAGAGCTAAAAAGTGTTCTATAGGGTAAGCGACTATATGCTTAATGACTATTTGAAGCAATTGTCACAATTTGCAAGGAATTACTAGGTTGAAATTTCTTCCAAAAAAGCCATATCGGAATAATTATAAACTACATATGTAAATGAAAGATGAGACATTATATATCAGATTTAATCTAATACAACTCTAATACACTGACTACAGTCTACGTATTTTAACATTGTTTTATGGTTGCTCAAAATTACTAAAACAGTCTTCCACATCTACCACAGTTTTTAACGGTGCTTTCAGTAAATTTAATTTGATAGAGTTATTTGCTGTCATTCTTAAAAAAATAAATGTAATCTGAAGAATTCCCTGTTTTACTAAATCCTCTAAAAATTTACTAGAACACACTGTGGCCATGGACAATATGAATGTATTCAAGGTAGGTTAAGCATATTTTACATTCTGTTGAGTGGGTCTAGAAATCCAGATTGAATTAATGAGTTCAAATACTTCATCTTTGGCATGTAATTTGATTTACTAAATGCCATCTTTATTCTTGGAGAAAATAAAGTAAGTTAAATTCAGAAGTTCAAATTTCTAATGTGGGTAGGACAGAAGTATTCCATTTTTTGTTTCTGTGATTTTTTTAAGCAAATATGACACTAAAGCAAACTTCAATTATTTCCATTGCAGAAATAGTTAGAAAGTAATTATTAGAAAGCATAATAATGCATGTGAAAACAAAAGATTATTGGTCCAGCAGTTTGACTGCTCAGTTGGCAAATATTATTAAAGAACTTTGTACCAAAGAGAGAGAGTGAGAAAGTATTAGGAAAGATAAAAGGTCAGGCAGCAACAAGAGACTGGCCTTTCCCTTCCACAAATACACACACAATAGACGCTATGGCAAAGGAAAGAAGGGAAAGGAGCTACCTGTTCCAATGGATCACGAGTGGTGCAGCCTCCAAGAAAGAGAGCAGCAGCAGGAGGAGGTAGCAGAGCTTACTGTAGATTTTTATGAACAAGTAACTTGGTCAACAGCTGTGATTTTATGCTGATACTGCTAGACCAAAACAAGCAGACCAGCTAAAATTCCCCTGTACTCTGCTGGGTACAAGTTGCTGAAGCTTATCATTATTACATTTGTTATCTCATCCTAGCCCAGGAAAGAAAGACAAATTATTCCACTACATTACCACAAAGTAACAGAATAACTTCACTAACTTCTAGTTTTGTCAAATTTCAGATCTGAGCAGAGCATGGTTTTATGATCACTTTTCCATCAACAAAAAACGTGGATTTCAGAGTATATGAAAATGGTTTCCTTTAACTAAACATCAAGAGAAATTACAGCCTTCTAACATAATGCTCTGAACCTGCACAGTATGCCCATCTTCAGCAGCATGGCTCTGCAGCACACACACCAAGATACTTGATTTGAGAGACTGATGGTGATTGCTGTTCTGTTCTCTACCTGTGTTAGCAAGAAACCTAATTGCCAGAGATATGCTTTGCTGTATTTAAATCTGGGACTCAGTCAGAGATCTCTGAACAAAATTATCTGTCCTGAGATGAACAGACAGCCGTATCAGGTGATCTGACAGTCCCCTCTGGCTGTAAGCTACAAAATCTAAGACTTGAACAAACAGTTCCTATTAGGCTCTTACCATTATAAACAAAAGTTTACTTCATATCTAACATTCTTTTTGCACTAAAGGAAAACGTAAGAACTACTGAGAACATACATCTCATGACTTCAGCAACAATCACCATTAGTGATTGGACCTTGCACGGTTTTCTGTGATGTTGCATCATGCATCACACAATACGTTGCATGTGTCGTGCTATGAAAAACTGGCGAAACAGATCATCTGTGGAATTAGAATTGGCCAACAGCCAGCAAAATATCTCAAATTTTGTGCAAAAGGCAGAATAGAATTACCTTTAATGTTGCTTCAGAGACAATGCTTATACCTCCCAAATAGACAGACTGATATTCTGTAAAATGCATTATCACTATCAGCTAAATTAATCTAACTTTAACCACTGTCATTTAATTATTTTCATTTTTTTTCAGATTAATTTAGGCTGAAGAATTAAAAATATCTACAAGCTGTTAGAAAGACATAGCTTCTGTATTTTAAACATTACCACATTATATAGCAATTGGGAGTTGTCATTTGGGAAAGCACCAGACACAGTTATGAAAAATAATTTGCAGAGCTTTACAGAAAATAAAAATACCGTATGCTACCATTCATTGTAATTCCTGGTCTAAGGTTTTAAAAAGTCTCAACTTTGATATCTCATGTGCACTATTTTTCTCTAAGAATAAACAAGAGAACTATTAAATCAAAATCACGCATCATTATAAGTCATTATTAAAGAAATCTGCATAGTCACAAAACTGGGGGTTTCTGTGGTGTGCTATAATATGGACAGAATATCTATATTCACAGCTTTAATTTTCTGAAAGAGTAAAATTAAGTATTTCCCACTGGGCATATGTGAAGAAAAGCACTGCTTAAAATACATTATATTTATTTAAAAAAAAATAAAGTATAAAAAAGAATATTTTTCATTATTATATTTGAGCTGTGTGCAATATACAGTCTCATTTATCCGTACCTTCAATAGTGACTGGAAAGAGCTTATTAAATACACCAATGTTATCAACCCCACATTCAGACTTTCTTGTTACCAAAAGTCAAATAAATAATGTTTGCAGGACATAATGGCCAACAGATGAAGTTTATGGCTTTAGATCAGATTTCACAGTGGTATGAAACTCCAATTTATCATTCAGTCTTCCACTTCACCATTGTAGAAAATGTTACTCTTTCTGTGACGTTTTCACTAAAACAAGAATTAAATAATTAAATTAACTTGTATTACTCCTTTTTGAAATGCGTTCTGGTGAATGCCTTATAATCTTTCTTTTTCTTCTTCAAAGCTAATTTACTGTATTGTTGGCATTGTCACTTCACAAAAAGTTGAAGAATAGCTAAGAAAATCAAGCTTCAGGGGACTGATAAAATCAGTCATTAAGAAAGGGAAAGACAAACACTACTTTGGTTTTCTGAAGTACTGCCAGGAAGATTTAGACATTAGTATTAGAGTCAGACCGAAGTTGTAGGCTTCATATTTGAATGGGAATTTCCCACTGCCCTTCACACAATCACCTGTCACTACAAAAAAAGACTTTGTAGAAAAATTGATTTGTAGAATATCTTCCCCTGTTAGAAAATGGATTTGTCAGATTTAAGAATTATTTGTCTCATACACTCCTTAAAAGTGATAGGATTAATAACATCTTGTAGAAAGCCTCAAGGAGGAAGAAGGAAGGTATAAGTTTCTACTCATGCTAATTTCAGGCTAAGCACACCTCTGAAAAAAGGAAGGAATCAGAGGTCTTGTCATGATTTAATATCTTTTTCATTTTCCTAGCAGCAAGTATCACAGGAAAGTTAAGCAAATTTTATGTTAGGACTATGAGACTGAAATATTAAGAAGAAAAACATTATTAATACTAAGACCATCAGTTTGTTCTTAGACAACAAAGTAGTTGTAAAATCAATAACTATTTTCGAAGGTATCAAAGGAGTTTAAGCTAATTACAATGTTTATATAAAGATAATGTCAATATTATTTAGATATGCTAAACTAGCTAAAGGAGTACAGAACTAGAACTGTTGTGTGTTAGAATGGCTGGCAGTCCATTCGGCACTGGTGGTCTGGGATTCAGGGCATTTGTTAAAACTGATGTCAAGCACTCACGCAGTGCAACACAATACAGAGTAGGTTAAGTGCAGGCACTGTGACCCAGGGTCTTTATCCTCCTGTGTTTTTTAAGAAAGGTACAAAGAACAAGTCAGTTGCATGTTAGTGTATGTAGTGGTAAAAGGCAGACAGAAAAGATACTTCTTAATCCAGTTTGGGGATCAGGCACTGACAAAAGATATCCTTCTATACCATCAGGTTTGTCTTTTCCTAGTGGAAGACAGTTCTGAATATCAGAGCAGAGGAGCTTGGTTTTCATCCAACAGTTATATGTTGCATGAACTGTTCCATAAAGCAGCTATTAGTTTAGTGTGTATGCAAAAAGAAAAATTCAGAGCAGCTTTTTTTTTTTTTTCCTCTGAGTTCCACACAGAAGTCTCCATCTTTAAAAACTAATTGTTTAGAGATACCCAAGTTAAATACATCTAGTTGTCTGGCTCTCAGTACTTACTGTAGAACACAATGAATGCAGAGAAATTTTCCTGTTTCCTAAGACGAGCCTGCTTTAATTCTTCCTAAAGACACAGAGTATCACATTGCCAAACAATCCTGAGCCTCAGCAGTAACTGCAAATTAAGGCTTGAGAAGACATCGTTATCTTTTCAACACATTCCTTTAATAACAATCATGTAATGTTTATAAAGTGGTGAAAGCGTCTAGATTGTCATGAGCTCATGTTCCTGCCATAGTTGGCAAAATTTCATTACCTCTTCACTCTATGAACCATCTCCACACTAGGTCTAACACTGCTGTGATCAACGATCATTCACATCTCACTCCCGCATTCCAACTGTCCTAAGAAATTCATCAATGCTACAAACTACTGACCTTACCCTAAACCCATCTGATTGCAGGCCAGTTGGCTTAAATTTTCTTGCCACTCATCAGCACAAACATGGTTATCAGCAGCTGACCTGTGAATGGTCAGGAACATCAAGGAATTCATGTTTTTAGACAGGGTAACTGCAAAGAGAAAGAACAACAACTTCACTATTATTTCACATGATTAGTTTTATAAATGGCATACTGAGAACACACAACTACATTCCAAAGAGTTTTCCAAGATGCTGGCACTTTAGCTGATTTTATACGATGTAATTTAAATCCAAGGTAACCACGGCTATCAGAACCTTGCTAACATTGAACAGCATGAGACACTAAACAACAAAGGCCTCCTGAGGATCAGAATAAACCAGAATACTCTTGACTCATCAGCACAGGTTCACATGGGTTTCTGACAGCCTTAATCTTGTTAAATGATGTTTTACCCCACAAATAGACCAACTGAAATCACTCAAGTAATTTGTGGGATGAATGCTGCTCGACATAAAAGTGAAATCATCATTTGACTCTTGGTAATATGCACTGTTCCTGTCATAACAATATGTGGGTGTAAATAGAAAATAAAAAAAAAATCCTACTGTTTACAGGAAAGATCATAACCATTGCTTCTCTCTTAATCCATATACAGAAGTGTGTGAACTGCTTTTATCACATGCATTTTTCCTATATGCTGAAGGTGCTTTTGCTTCTGTCCCCGTGAGAAATGTGTGCATTAATCCTAGATTACTCCTTTTCAAATAGGCCTTTCTAGAACAGTTGTTTTCTGTTGCAGAGGTTTTATTAAATGCTGTTGTTCATTAATGTTCACACAATGTTAAATATCTTAAAATATTTATACAATCTACTTCAATATTAATACAAAATATTTGCTTCATAAGCCACAGTTCATCTTTTTTCTGTATTTAAAATTAAATGCAAAGCCTCTCAAAACTTAGTAAAATAAACCACTGTCATGTACAGAAAAATATGTCAACTCAGTGAAATCTCAGAGAACATACTACCACCTTCCAATCTGCTTCTTTTCAGCGCATTTTTTTTTTAAATCCACCCTCATTTTTATTTAAAGAGTACTTGGAGAGTTCTACTTTAACAACACAAAAAAGCATGAGGCCAAATCAAATTTAGGAATCAAGAGCAGGTCACATCATCCTGCAGGTCTACAGTCAGTGCAAAGGGGATCTAGTAGGACTGTCTTCTTCTCACAAGCTCTGAACCTGTGTCATTGCAGTCAG